TTGTTGTTGTTGTTGTTGTTGTTGTTGTTGTTGGGGGGAGATGGTGTCTCTTTTGGTCACCCAGGCTGGAGTGCAATGGTGCAGTCTCGGCTCACTGCAACCTCCACCTCCTGAGTTTGAGCAATTCTCCTGCTTGAGCTTCCTGAGCTTCTCAGCTGGGCCTACTGGCATGCACCACGACGCCCAGCTAATTTTTGTAGTTTTAGTAGAGACAGGGTTTCACCATATTGGCTGGGCTGGTCTCAAATTCCTGACTTCAGATGATCCACCCACCTCAGTCTTGCAAAGTGCTAGGATTACAGGCGTGAGCCACTGTACCTGGCCATTTCTAGCTATTTTTCAATATACAATAGATTACTGTAAATTACAATCACTTTACATGGGGTTAATATTTTTGAAACTCTTTCAGTTCACAGCAAGAAGCATATTTTCCATTGCCTCACTATACATGTGAATTTGTGTGCTTGTGTGTGTATGTAGGTATGTATGTATATGTGAAAGAATCCTGAGACAAGTTTCATGACATAGTTCCACGGATGAAATGCCCTCTGGTTTCTATGCGATCATTTTTCATTCTTCAAAAAAATGGTGGTTGTGATTATCTGAGCCAACATAACAAATCATGTTGTCAAATTGTGCACACAGGAGTCAGAGATCTTATCCAGAATTAGGCTTTGTAAGTATTTCAAGACTATAAGTAATCAAGAGGCATAGGCAAAGCAAGCATGGAGAAGAGACATGTCACATGGCTCCCTAGCCTGTCCTTTCTACATCAGAAACATACTCTGCTGGAACTTAATGATACATAAGGTGGTCAATAGGTGAGATTTATGGGTTACCTCCCATAAGGAGCACCTAAATTATGAAACTTCTTTTATTTTATTTATTTTTGATAGGCAGATTTGCTCTGTCACCCAGGGTGGAGTGCAGTGGCTCAGTCTTGACTCACTGAAATCTCTGCCTCCCAGGTTCAAGTGATTCTCCTGCCTCAGTCTCCTCGGTAGCTGGGATTACAGGTGCGTGCCACCATACCTGGCTAATTTTTTTTGTATTTTTAGTAGAGACAGGGTTTCCCCATATTGGCCAGCCTGGTCTCGAACTCCTGACCTGGTGATCTGCCTGCCTCAGCCTCCCAAACTGCTAGGATTACAGGTGTGAGCTGCTGCATGCAGCCTAACATCTTTATTTTATACCTCATAGTTTTATGTGAGATTCTTCAGGGAGTCATAACCTCATAAATCTGTAGATTGTTTACTACAGTGGTTCTCAGATTTGAGGTTGCACTAGAATTACGTGGAGGTCTTGTCAAACAGGGATTGCTAAACCCCACCTCTGGTTTCTGATCCAGTGAGTTTTGGGTGTGGCCTGAGAATTTGCATTTCTAGCAAATTTTCAATTTCTCTCTTTGAGAACTACTGCTTTATTGTAGACATCCTGCTTAAAGCATTCCATAGAGGACTTAGTAACTATCAGTTTATTGTCCCTGTAGTTCATATGGTAATGTTTGCAAAGAGATTAAGCCAGTCACCTGTCTTATTTACCCTGGAAGTTTCTCACCTACCCTCAATCCTATAATAAGGGGAGAAGTTGATCCTGGCCAACTATTTTAACTCCTTCCACCCCACTCTCTAAACTGATTCATGACCTACTAATGGATCATGGTGCACAATTGGGAAAATTCTGGTCTATGCCAACTGTTCTACATGAGAAAAATTGAGACCCAGGGAGGTTAAATTTAGATAGAGTGTCTAAATTATGAATCATCTCAGTTTTGTGCCTCAGATATTTTATACCTCAGAGACAGTGGAGAATTTGTGAAGAGTTGGATTGGGGAATAACTAGCAGCAGTGTTTCAGTGTAATTAACTGACTTCTATGAGTTGGGGTGTATAGAGGCCAGCTGTTAGAGCAACTCAGGCAGTAGAATAGAGATGGGGCAGGTAGTCCAGTAAGAAGATGGCAGGATTTCTAGCTTGAAATTGTGTTTATTAGATGGGTGCTTTTGGGTAAATTTTGTATTTAATAATTGTTCTTTGCCTTATTTAATCACCTGTAAACTGCAGCTATATAGACACAATTAACAGAAAGGGGGCAGATATGAAGAAATGGGATGGGGGCTATTGTAACTGAGGGAAATTGAGGAATGCAAGAACATTAGAGGAAAGGAACGAGGTGGAAATAGCTTTAGGAGCCTAATAGAGACTTTTTAAACTACCTCTGTGTTTGCTTTTTTATCTTAGCTGCTACGTACTTCACCGTTCTTTGCTCAAAGTATGGTCTGTAGGCCAGTGGCATCAGCCTCATTTGGAAGCTGACTCTTAAGATCTTACCCCAAACCTACAGTATCAAAGTACATTAAGAATATCTCCTGGGAATTTGCATGCACATTCCTTCTTGGGAAGCATAGCTCTTGTGATGTCATTGACTGAGAAGCTTGAGCTAAGTCTCCTTTCTTACCAGCGGTTCCAGCTAGATAACATCTTTCAACTTTTAATTTCTTCTGCATTCTTTTTTTT